TCCACCACTAAATGTAAAAGTAAATACCAATCGAGGCTTTATCGTCTCCCAGTTAAAATTTCGAAAACAAAATCTGTTCTTCGAGGCTATTCCAATAATCGGAAGTACAGGTATTCTAGTCGGCCTGTGCTAAAAAAATTCGTGGATATTTTTGCGATCAAGTTTGTTAGAACAATGACACTGCGAAAGAAGACATTAATGTTTGCCGTTGGTGACATGACCGGCTGCGTGTTCTCTTCAAGGACTGTCGGAAAGATTTGGGAAATTTCGAAGGTGCATCCTCTCTAATTCTTCCCGTAGTGCCATCAGCTGTTGCTCCTGCACCTTGATGAGTTTACTCAGGTGAGTGCGGTGAAGAAGAGACTTGTAACAGGATTCTGCACGAACAAAATCCGGCATTGCGAAGGCTACAAGTTAAAAGGATGCAAGTAATGTTGGGTGGCCTAGTTAAATGATCCTCTTCGTTCTCCAAAATATGATAAAATGCTCAAATGTTAGTGTACAGGTGAATATCATCCACACACGATCATATAAGATGCGCAAATGTAATGATATCAACTAACGTATTTGCTCGTAAATATGCCGGGCTTCCCAAACGGAAACATTCAAGTCACTGAGTTCCTTCGTCAGGCGACTGTTTTCTTTTCTCATTTTTTCAGTTTGTTTCTCCTTGTAAAATTTGATTCTACTTTTGAGGAACTCCATTTGTCGCTCATGATTCTGCAATGGCAATACGGCCAACATTGAAATTATAGACGTGCATGTCATGAAGAAGACTAAAGATTAAATAATCTTCTCACAGATAGACGAGTTACTTATTGGTATAGAAGGATGGAATGCGGATTACGGCAAGGACAACAGTACTAAATCGATTTAGGAGAAATTGTATTAAGCGGTAGTGAGGTCTCGACATGACAGATAAGCACAATGCTTTGACAGTTTGCTCATATTTTCATTTGATGATGCTAATCAGGCCTCCCGGTTGCAGACGAATGTGCATATATAAAGAAATAAAGTCAATGGTCTGGCTTTGACAGGGGACCATGTTGACTGACATTGGGAAGAAAGTGATACCATTCGTACAGTGTGTCTAAGAACAACCGTCCACTCATCCTTCTCATTGCTCTGACAGAACTGATTCTTTTAGTTATCGAACTTATGAGGACTTTTTCTACATATTCCAAGTGGACAATAGGACTCAATTCAAACGTCGAGGGAGAAAGCCGACATAGGCAGGTGTTTGGCACGTAGTACTGACTACCAATACGTCTTAAAACTTCGTCGGCATTGGCGTCTTGCCACTTGATCTGAGATTCTCACTAGTCCCTCCGTGACCAAAGGCTAACGACAGAGACCACTAGGTCAGTGGGCGTTCACTGTATGTCTTTCATAGTTAAGCATTTGTTCATCTTTGAGGTGGTAGAACGAATTCAGTTGTCGACAGTCTTTAATACCCCCATCCCTGTACGCTGAAGGCGCATATTCTATCCTTATTCTTTTGATTTACTTTTCTAAAGTAGGCGAGAAAGCGGTCTTATAGACTTCACAGATGGATTATGGAATTGGTCCTATTCAGAATGCTAGTGCGTATGGAATTCGCAATGTACCACAAGACTGGCATCTAGTTAATTGTTAGACAGTTGATAGCTATCTGGCATGGCGAAATAGGGTGATCCTTACATCGGTTGAGGCCTCTTCTAAACTCATGGCCAACTTTCGAGTGTATTAAGGGTAGTCCCATCAATGAGAAAGCGGGAGCCACTAAAGGAGTTATACGAATGTCGCCACTACTGGCGAAAGAAGCTCGGAGAATATTGCAAGAATGAAGTGGTTTAGTCAGAGGCATAATGGAAGAGTCCGATAGCAATTAGCCTTGTACGATTGCCTCAATCGAATAATCAAATCCTATGATGTTCACCCTCGGGCCTTAGATCGCGTGTGCTCGAGGATTCACTTCTCAACTGAGCCACGGCTGCTCTAGTCGGCCAACCTACGGGATACGCAAGAAGATGAAACGAGTATTTAGTTCAGACGGACAATTAACACTAACACAGTCAAAACCATTCCCCCCCCCCCACGAAATAGAAATAAACACGTTCATTTAGTAAATCGTTGGAGATGACGCTTCGAGACGGTCTACTTGCTATAGTGACAATTTCTGCCAAATTATGCCGACGCTTTGTTCTCCTGCCAAAAAGGATTTCGGTCAAATGGAGAATGAAATCCCGGGTTTTCTCTTAGGATAACAATAAAGCGGATGTTTTGATGAAAACGTCCACATATCCAGTCTGATAAAGGACAAGGTTGAGTGAATCGATTAGTCGTGACCAGGCATTTACTGCAAATGAAGACGGTGCAATTCACGTATCAGTTTAACAGATAGCCCAAATATAACTTCACGGAATCTATCAGTGACAAAAGAAATTCCAATAAGGATGAACTCAATAAGACGGTTTATCAGGGAGGACTGAACGAGGAGGTAGGATTCAAGCGGGAACTTGCCTTTTTGAGTTGAGCATAGGTGCGCTCTGAATTAAAAATTTCAGTTGTGACCATGCCGTCGTAGTCCTCATTTTGAAGATACTGAAGACAGTAAATGCAAAATCAAAATAAACCAGCAGGAACAGATCATATACGAGGTCATAAACCTTCAACTTTCGTTGGACCTGAAGTGTAGTAGACTGATGTCTTAAGTGTAGTTGAGGAACATTTCGCTCCGAGGGGGGAGTATCGCCCCATCCCCAAGTGTTGATTGAGTCCAAATCCTATCCCGGTGGGTGCGTCACGTAGGGGAGCGGTAGGAGTCTGAAAATGCTTCTACGGTCAAGAATCACCACGACCGGTAGCCTCACCGGCCAGCCTACTTCCCAGGAAGGTATTTGCTCTCGCAACTGTAGTTTTAGAATACGCCGGCCTTATGCTATCTAAACCCCAGACGATGGACCCTCATCTGCATTCGAAACGCTAAACCGACCAAAGCAGGATTTACGAGGAAAATTATTCTCATAGGCAGGAAGGTTTCATACCTTCCTTTATGTATGTCAATTTAAATGACGATGTCAAAAGTTTTAATAGTAAAATTTAGTCAATTCTACTTGCAGCCTAAAGTGTCCACTGTATAAAAATCAACTGTGATGATAGCAGAACTCAGAACACTTACCCGCTGAATTTCCCTCGTAATCTGGAAATTTTTAATATCGCTTTGTCTGGTTTGCAGGTCTTCGTATTTCATCAACATTTCACGCAAAGCCCTGCAGAAAAAAGTGATCGTTATAAATGGAAGAAATCCAGCGATTTTACCTTCAGTTTACTGCGGTCTAGCGGGAGAGGGTTTAGAAACCAGCGGGATGATTCTAAAACACTGATTTGGTGATTCTATCAAT